ATAGAGAGCTGAACATTGCCTTCATTTGGACACGGACCGGGATCAAAACTGGGTATTTATCTTTAGCAACAAGAGACCAAATATTTTCAGAGCTTGAAGAAAATGATTTTAAAGATAAATCCTTTTGAAAATCAATCAATTCCAACTTCACTGCAGCATTGCCTTCTTGAAAATCAAAACGCTGCATGACACAAGTACAGATCTCTTCAGCATCAATCTCTATAAAAGACGATTTGATAAACTGTGCAACAATTAAAATCCTTTCGAAATATTGGAAGCGTTTGTTGAATTCTCTTTTCAAATCAGAAATAATTTCAACATATTGTTTGCTGTTGTAAGGAGGCGTTAAAGAACCTTACTTGTCAATGGTTTGTTTCAAACAGACAAAAGTGTTTACATTCAACTTGGATGATACTCTATTGCCACAGTTCCAACTTTTTTTTTTTTTTTTAGAATGAAGCAAGATCTGAAATTGTTCTGCCAATATCTTTTTCTTACCTTGAAGCTGCAAGTTAAGGATATTTTAGCTTTTCGGTGATGTCTGCGAGGAAACCAAAATCCTGCAGCCAAACCGGATCTTCCAGTTCAATGAAGGATTCGCCTCGTTCCTTCAAAAATTCTACTAAGACAGTACGATCTATCTCTACCTTTCCACATCCACTGACTTAGATCCTACAATGAACCTGGCGAATTCTCGCACAGACGCTTAGGGCAGATTGGTCTATATGCTCGTAGACCTGTCAGATGCGTTCCACTTACTGCAACTCACTGTCGCCTGCGGTTAGCCTGGAGTAGAGAGCATGCATTGTGGAAACAGCTTGCAGTCTGATTCTCGCCGGACTTTCATATGGAGAGCTCCAGGTACCCGTTACCACCAAGAAAACATCTTTGAACGACACCGTTACGGTGGTGCAGGAGTGCTCGTTTGGGGTGGAATTATTCTGGGTTCCAGAACTGACCTTCATGTTCAAATTGGAATCATGACAAGCCATATCTATCGGGACGTCATTCTGGAACAACATGTACATTTGTTTCGGGGCGCCATGGGCACACAATTTGTGTTTATGGATGACAACGCCAGTCCTCACCGTGCAAATATCGTAAGCGAATGCCTTCAATCGGAGGATATCACCCGTATGGACTGGCCAGCATTTCTCACCGGACTTGAATCCAGTAGAACACGTGTGGGACATGCTTGGCCGACGAGTTGCAGCCGTCAACCTCCTTCCTACATGTCTACCGGAACTTCGGAGTGCATTGCTTTTTGAGTGATGTAATATCCCCCAAGATCAGATCGATAATTTGATACTCAGCATGCCTAGGCGTTGTACGGACTGTATTGCATCGTCTGGGAGACATACAATGTATTAACAATCAAACGAACCATGTAATATTGGTTTTTTGTAAATAAGGTTTTTTTTTTTTTTTTTTTTTTTGGTAATTTGCTCCAGGGAGAAAAAATCGCTAATTTTTTTAATAATATTAAATATATAGCATCTTTTTTTGCTCTTTACCTTTTGTTTAATAAATAAGCTTTACAAATAAGTCAAATTTGTTTTGCTTCTAACTCTTCCTTTGCCTGATTTTGCATTATCCTTAATTTATAGACATGAGTGTAGTTCATCAATCAGTGCTCTAAGGAAACGTCACTGAATTGCATGTGCTCTAACTTTGTTCACTAATTTTGTGACTGTTTGCATTAGCCTGCTCGTACTTCGAAACTTTCCACACAGTGATTCTTTACGTATTACTCAATAGTAAGATAGAAATTTCGGAAAGCTGCTGTCTTTAAGACACAATATTATGAATCCCTTCTCTCTACATACCATCGCATTTACTCCGTCAGTTGCTAAGCCCACTAAATTATGAGAATATTTTCAGAGTTGATAACATCTCTAACTTCTAAAAATGTGTCCGGTCCTGTTTCCGGTATAATCTTTACCAGCTCTTCTCTTATTTCGAAATTATCAAAAACGATTCTTGCTAAAATGTCCAACTGAGCTGTGTCAACAATATTAGTCGATTTGTCAAGTTGCAAGGATAAAAAGCTGCAGCGATCAAAGGGAATTTTAAGTTGTGGGATAACGTCAGAACTCATAACTTCAAGCCTTTTTATTGCTGTATTTGCAGAAAGCTGTACAGACTTAATAGCAGACATTATCACAGTTTTATTTTTGAAACTATCAAATTATGCATCTGCAGCTTCTAAAAACGCAGTTTTTTATTCTGTGCAAAAGTATTTGAAACTCCGAATGACGCCTCAGTTGCTGCTTTATTCTTGTTTAGTAGTTTCAAAAATGTTGATTGTTGAGAATTTAGATTTTAGCTGCCTTACCTTTTCTTGTCTTAGAGCAGATTTCAGCGAGAAAGCTTTTTCAATCTCTGCGTGAACGGTTTTGAAGTGATATTCAAATTTTCTCTTTTTCGTCAATTGAGACACCTGCATAGTACAGTAAACAAGCACAGTTTTTCTTTACCTGGGTAAAACAGTTCTCGGTTTCCCATTCCGAATGAAAGTGATAAGTTTTTTGCTTTTTGTTTGAACACGCCATCATTTAGTACCTATGCATAAATCAAACTACCCAAGTGGGCCCACCAGCGGACGAGCGGTAAAGTCGCTGAACACTGGTAGTTCGGTCCGAGGTTCGAATCCCGCGAACGGGCTGGCTGCATGGGTGTTTTCGTGGTTTTTCCCCCATGTGTAACGTGTATACGAGCCAGCTTCCCTTAGCCCAGCTTTCCTCCACGAAGGCATCCCTCCCCTTAGGCAGATAGCCCTCGAGGCTTTGCCATAATCACACATACAAATACATACAAACTACCCAAGTTAGCAGATGCGTACTACACACAAGAAACCTATAATGTACACAACCTCACGCGTATATAATCAACTATGAGATGAGGCCGACAATGGCATTTGCGCGGGAGAAACAATCAATTTTTGTCGTCAGCTCAGTAGAGAAATCAAGATTAGCCAAAGGCAATGTACCGTAAATGTCCCCGCGAGCTACTAATAGCTCGCGATCGACGGTTTGGCGATCACTGCTTTAGTTCATTGCCAAAATCATCGCAGAGTTTGAACATCACTCTCTTTCCTTTTAAATACAGTATTTATTACCTTCATTCCGGGAAAGATCTGAGATCGCAAATATTTTTCCATCATTTCTTTTTAAAATCCTGTTTTCTAAATCTAAAAATTTTTTGCGTTCCTACATTTCGCGAGAGGGCAAGGCACAGTCGGCACCCACTATGTAACCCTTTCAGAAGGTAGGTAATGAAGATTGATGATTTCGCGGAAACAGGAACATTTTTGACAACCGCGGAATCAGGAATCGCGGCAACAGGAAGACACCCCAACCGAGAGGTCATTGACAGGAAAAATTCGACACTTTAGTGTATTAAATGCTTTAAAACATAGAATAAAAATGTGAAATGGAAAACAACTCATTTTCGGTTTATTTCAAAGTTTAAATTGCATTTATAAAATTAATTTCTTTTTTAAGTACACTTTTTTAATCGCCATAAGAAAACACACGTTTCCTCCTAGATCATCCAAAAGGTCATGGATGAACAAATTCTTTCATATTTCAAAATTTCACAAAGCACATTAAGAGCATAGGATAGGGCTACTGCCTGATTTCAACTTGTAAAGAAAAGAAGAAAACGAAAATAATTTTAAAATGCTTCGAGAAAAGACTAACTTTTCTTTAGAAAACTTCGAGTTCAAGAAAATTGATTTTCGAGGAAGATGAACATTAGTTTGTGATATATTTATAATACATAATATTTTTTAAATTCCAACTTCTCTAATGTTAAGTTAATTAATTACAAAAAAAGCACATGAGAATTATCATAGATATCTGGAAGGAAACTGTCCCTATTATGAAAGTCTGACTTGTGATGAAATGAGAAACACAGCTAAACACTGATTAGCTAGACAAATTTTTGTTACCATCCAACAGACTAGTTGCATGCTTGTCCTCCATGAAGGCATTCCTCTGTTTAAAAAGGTAAACTTCTTGCGCTTTGTCTAAATTCAGTAAGCAATAACAATTGTACAGTTTGAACATAGGTGAATAGAACATTTTTAACAGATTAATGCATACTATTTTGCTGATTGATATTTTTTCTATATGGTAGCTATAGAAAAAAATAAATTTATAAAATCTATCTAATTTTTATAGCTAACTGTCTTTAAATTATTCTAAAAAACTCTGTAACTGGAAGAATGTATCACAGATCAGCATTTAAATTGATAAAGCTAATAAATCAGTTTTGGTGTAAACATATTATGTACCAAAAGGTACATGTGAAGTAAATATGTTTTGTGCAAATAAACTGGAAGCATTTTCCGGAATGTCTTCAGCAGAATTACAAAGAGCACTTCTTTTGCGGGTTTTATGGTTATATTACATGTTAAACATTATTTCATTTAGATTAAGAAAAATATACACATATCTCGTAAAAGTATATTATTTAGAAAAAATACCAAACAGGCACATTTTTGAAACATTAAATTACAGATCTGGATACTCCATTTACTATAATTACAATTATAAATACATTTCATAGTGACAAAACCATGTGTCTTTTTGATTTTGTGAGCTTTCATCAGTGTGGGCTTATATCAAGGTGGGCTTTTATCAGTATGGGCTTTTATCAATGTGCGCTTTCATCGGTGTGGGTATTTGTCGCGTGGGAAATTATTACAGTGGGGATTTTTTTTGTGGGCTTTTGTCGCGTGCGCTGTTGTCTATTGGGCTTTTGACAGGGAACCAATGCAGTGATGTATCTCTCTGACCATAAAGCCTTATATTTCCAATTTATACCTGATTACAGGTAGATCAAACAAAAAATAAAATGTTTCTTTCATATAGATTAAATAAAAAAATAAAGTGCCTCTCACATGTAGATTAAATAAATAACAAAACGTTTCATATATAAACTCGTAAAATATTTAATTAGGTAAAATGAATAAAAACTGTGCCAAAATTACTCACAATGCTTTCACACCGTGGATTTCCATCTGGGTCTGTTCGGTTACCACCAAAAAATTTTGGCAATACATCAGCATCAATATCAACTAAGAGAGCTTTTTTATAATCTAGAGGGAAAAATTGAACCGAATATTATAGTACTTTTCATGTTAGTTAATTTGCATTAGCCATATGCAGGTCTAATATTGCGGCGGCAGCGTTAATAGCGCTTTAATAAAATCACGCTACAAGGGAGCAACTACTTTTTATTCATTATTCACAATGTCAAATAGTAGTTACAAGAATACCACTTATTAGTCAATGACTGAATAGCATTGTAAAATGACTGTTTCATTGAACCACAAAAATCTCCCGATCGGCGTTTGAGACTGCCCATTACTCATGGTAATATATCGTCAAGGATATTGATGACGGCAGTCTGATGTGATATTTCATCTCCGATAAGATGGTACAATGTTTAATTCAGAAGTCAAACAACAAAAATCAGTGTTATATTTGCAAATTTTCCAGGACTAGTTTCCATGATTTTACCAAACCATCTTCCTCAGTTGCCAAAGTGCAAATGAACGAGATAAGCTATGGTGATAAGATAAGATAAGAATGAGTGGACAGGATTTAAGCTACTGGTGGATGTTTTTTTGAATAATTCTGGCTGCAGAAAAATGGAAAGTGTGATTTTCGGACTAACAGTGCTGGGCAACAGATGACTTCTGTGTTTCGTTTTCCCTAACATATGCATCATGTTCTTTAACGCGAAATTTTAAGGCTGTCTTAGTTTGACCAATGTAAATTAAACCACACTGGCAAGGAATCCTGAAAATACCCCAGGAATTCATATCTGGAATAGGGTCCTTAAGTATGGAACTGGGAATTTTATTGGTAGGAGAATAAACGGCCCAAAAGTTAAATTTCTGTAAAATACGTGCAATTTTATAACTAATTGATGGGAGGAAAGGAATGACAACAGAATTGTGATAATCTCCTAAAACAAGAGTGTGCCGTTTGGTGTGCTGAGATGCGAATTTTTTAACTGCTTGGTTAATAATGTTGGGTGAAGAGCGCCTATCAATAGCAATTTTTGTTGTTTGACTACTAAATTAATCTTTGTTCGGAGTGTTATTTTAACCTAAATGGTATAATGTGTTTCCAAAGCTTCTTGTTAGAGATACTCACTCAAGAAAGTAAAAATCATTATTCTCCCAAATACAGATTACTGAAATATTTAATCATTGCTCTTGAAATAAATTTTAACAGGGAAAGTACGATGTTAAGGAATCCAGCTCTCAGTGTTGAATAAACAAACAAAATGGCGGCTTTTTAGCAAAAGGGTGAATCATCCGCATCACATTGATGCGTGACGTCAATTATACAACACCAATCAAAATACGCTAGGAACGCTGTCGCACACTGTATATGAAATATTTTCAATGGTTATTTTTAAAATAAGAAGCTTTATGAGAATACTTACACTGGAGAATTGAACTGAGGAGAATTATTTAGGCGTGTATTCCTTTGAAGGTATATTTATTTTTACTCGTGTGAAGATAATAATGACAGATATGAAACAAGACATTTATTTTGAGCTCGCAGCGAAATCTCTGATTCGTAATCTACTGATTTCGCGAAGGCGAACACTTAATCTAAATAACTAGCAGATAGTCAAAGTAATACGAATTCAGGGAATGAGCATGCAAAAAAGTTGCTTTTCTTATGAACGTCCTAGATTTTCAAAGTTTGATTTTTATTTTTGATATGTATAAGGTATGGCAATAAAGCTCATGTAGTGCACTTTTAATAATGCTTGTACAGTACCTGAAAACAGTGGGTAAAGTCCTCTTTCCGTATCGCATGGAGAGTACTCGTCACATGGCTTTGAATGTTTGGAATACATGAAAATCATTCTCTTTTAGGGCTCGTCTCAAGTGTCGGATAGCATAGAAGCCTGCTGGCGCAAGATCACGTGATTGAGGCGGATTACTGAAAGCATGGAGGTAGGAAGTCCTTTCTTACCTACATGACTAAAAGCTATAACTCCTGTAATAGGCCACAGATTGTTTCAGGAGGGGGGGGGGTGCGAACGTCGCTGAGCAATATCACGGAGAAGGAATCAAGGGGTCGTCTCGGCATATTCTGAACATAACGATGAATCCTTTACATTCAATTAGCCTAAAAATTCAGGCAGTGTTAGTATTCATTGGTGATCGTTTTGGCTAGCATCTTCACTTTTTCACTATTTTCGTCGCTACGAGAGGTCACAAGCCTACTACACTAAGCAGCGTCTTCAATGGAATTTCGTCCATTCGGAAAACGTTTAAACCATTAAGAAACACAATTTAAAGATAAGATTTAAAGAAACCAAAACTCTGAACTGAAACTTTTCTGCTTCCCAACCTTTTTCCTCTGAAGTGCTACGACACTCTCACTTTTTTCCCATAAGCTCACCTGCTGGTAAGACGCTTTTCATCCATGCTGCTGCTCACTTGCTTGGAACTTACTGTATTCAAATATAATTAGGAAAGATCTTATCTGCAAAAGCATGGTTTGATATACGTAAAAAAAAAAAATCATTATTTTGATTTTTCCAGATGCGTTGTGCTAAATTGCGTTATCATGCTTTCACTCTGCCACCTTCAAGCCACTACGGTCTTTTTGGTCATCTACGCAGTATCTAAGTCGTTAAAAGTTCCATTGTTTTCATCTACGCATTTTAAAATTATTACATATTTATAAAAAGTCAAGACAGGATTAACCTGGAGCAAGTTTCCCCAATGGTCTTCGAACTCTGCTGCCTCATACTTCCAGGTAATCCTCAAATTCGTTTCCGGTCTGTGATTTAACAGCATATTCAAAAAGTGCTTTGAAAATCATCGAGTATCTGTAAGTTCAAAAACGAAAAGTGTATTGAATCAAGGTCAATGCCGCAGCGTAGTGAAATATGGTTAATGGTTCTCGCTCGCTTCGAATATTCACAATGTTTATGCATTTCCGATCATCGCGTAAAAAGAAAAACATTCAAAGTGCTTTGAAGATCAGCAAGCTCATGAGTGGAATAGTGTTTTGTTCACATTTTGCGTTTTTCAGTGCTCTTATTCAAAGAATGGAATATTATCCAAAACTTCAAATGTGATATGGGTTATTAAGTTCCAATTGGTAATTACTTTCCAAAAAAAAAAAAAAAAAAAAAAAAAAAAAAAACTTTGCATTAAGTTATTGTATTATGATATTGATGGGAATATTTGCTTAAATCTTTAAGATCAAAGTTATAATTAAAAAATTTTAGATTATTTAAAATGTATTTTGTTATTGATTGGAAAAAAAAATATTGAATTTGATAAAAAATTAGGTAAAGAATTTGAAGGTTTTATTAGGAATTTTCTAATACGAATATATTTTTGTTCTATCGTTTAAATATTTGAATTTATATTTAAATCTTTACTAATTTTAAGATTTGAAATTATTTTTGAAAATTTAAATTCTAGGAATTTCCTTTAATGTTGAAGATAAACGTTGAAGGCTCTCGTCTTATGAAGAATACCTTTTTTTTAAATTAAGTATTTTTTATTTTTTCATAAAATAAAGTGTGTTTCTTATTTTTATAATGGATTGACAGCAGTTCGAAAAAGGCCAGTTGCCCCTATCGAAGAAACGGAATTTTTTTCTAAAGAGCCCACCAGCGGCCGAGCGGTAAAGTCGCTGAACACTGGTAGTTCGGTCCGAGTTTCGAATCCCGCGAACGGGCTGGCTGCATGGGCGTTTTCGTGGTTTTCCCCCATGTGTAGCGTGTATACGAGCCAGTTTCCCTCAGAAAGTCCTCCACGAAGGCATCCCTCCCCTTAGGCAGATAGCCCTAGTGTGCTTTGCCATAATTAAATACACCACCACCACACCACCTTTTCTAAAGTAACTGCTAATTTGGCAAATCTTTTGGCCACTGGTGAAGAATAACACCAGTTTACTCAACTGATAAACCAATATGATGGATATTCTGGTATTTAGAGAAATTTGTGGAGAATCAAGTTTGTAAGAAGTTTGTAAAGTGTTTCAGGTTTTTTTTAAAGAATAAGTAAATTTTAAATGTCTTAATAATAGTGAAAAGTTTGAAATTTGTTTTGTTTATGAAATGATGTGTTACAAAATTTTTATGCTTTAAAGGGCCTTCCTTAAAAAACATAACTATGGAAATTTTAACAAATAACATGAAAGTTGGCATCTCAATTGAAATAGAAATGTTTTCATCAACAAAAATTGGAAGACTTTTATTTGAACATTACAATTTTGATATTATTGCCTTGAACGAATATAGCACGCCACATGATTGCAGAAAGATTGTCTGGGTCAGAGGAAAGCACAAGCAAAAGGGACGCATCATTTTCATAGAAAGAAGGGGGGAATTAAAGTTCAGTTTTTAGTTTTGGTTTACAAATTTGGTGATTGGTTAAAGCGGCATCTGCAAAAGGTTTACGAAGGTACATGATTAATTTGATGATGCATTTAGACTTACAGCGCTATTTTTAGGAGAGGAGGCGATGAGTTTTCCAAATGATAAAAATAAAAGAGGTTATACTGAATTAAATTTAGAAGTTTGCTTTTATATTTTTATCTATATATATATATATATAATTGTGTGTGTGTGTGTGTGTATACACGTAAGATATAACAAAATATGATGGCTATGCTTATAAATAATTGGCAACCTCAAAATTGACTATTCTAAATTTTATATTCACACCCTAAGTTCAACTTTTCTCTAAAATGCGAGATCTTTCCAAAATCGTACGACGCTTACATAACGTTGCCTTCAAAGATAACTAAAACCTAAAATTAACCAATCGCAGTTTAGCTTACATATGCACCTACCTAGTATAAATACTACTTCACAAGCAATTTCATCATCTTTTCTTAACTTCTTTGCCCTGCACAACGTCGCTGCGCTGTTATGCTTAATTGTCCTCCTTTGTTATTTACTTAAGATGATGTAGTATTGTTTCTTAACCTGTCTATATAAAAATCATTGTAGTTAACTATTTTAAGCAATATCTTGTCTGCAAAAAAAAAAAAAAAAAAAAAAAAATTTGGTGCTCCGAAAAATAAATATTGTGAGTCTTTG